GATCGGGCGAAGGCCGCCGCCGCATCGGAGCACGCGCGTGCGCGACGACGTCCCCGCCTCGCTCGGTCCGTCGCGCCGTTCGCTTCGCCTCCCGTTCGCCGCGTTGATCTGATTTTAATTTCGCCGCGGTTTTTTTTTGACAGGCCCGGGAGTTAGGGCGCGATGGCGGCGCCGCCGGCCAGGGCTCGGGCCGACTACGACTACCTCATCAAGCTCCTCCTCATCGGCGACAGCGGTGAGCCCCCCTCCCCCCCGTCCTCGCCTCCCGATCCGCGCGGGATCTGGCGGCGTGTTCGTTAGGCGGTTTGATTTCCATGCGCCAGTTGGGATCTGGCGCCCTAGATCATTTTTCGCGGAGGCTGCTGTGTGCCCGTGTGAAATTTGAACGGGCGATAGAATCTAGCCTCTCGTGTCCCGTTGGATTAGTGCGTGCTCTGTGACAAGAGTAGCCTGTTCCTGCTTGCAAATTATAGAAGCAATAGGAGCTACGTAACCGCGGAACTGATACAAGTGAGGATGTAGTTATTACATTGGTCGTCACATGGAGTCAGGAGCAAGCTCTTGTTCCTGGAACTGTCTGTCCTGGTGTTAAGGGCATCTCCAACGCTACGCGCTAAGAGAGGGCACCAGGAAAATGATCCTAGTCGATTGGCAGTTACGGCATCGATTCGTTGCGTCGGGCGCCGCAGCGACGCAAAACAAGGCATCAAGCGCTACCGTTTCTTTCCTCACGAGATGACACACGGATCGCTATTTTCACCAATGCTTAGCGCCTAGCGTTGGGATAGATCACGCTTGGTGCTTTAAAAAAATTCTGGTGTTTACTTTTTTCTGTTTAAGTGCCCAGATAAGCACTCCCCATTGTAGATGCCCTAAGGAAATCGCATGGTTGGTATGAATTGTACAAGTAGGATAATGAATGTCATTTTCTTTTCCCTTAACTGTGTAAATAACTGATTCAGGATTAAGCAAACCACTAGCTTTGCCCCTCTTTCTGTGTCCTTACGGTACTTTGTATGTTTTGGTTATGTATGCTCTTCTTATCTTCATATTGATGTGGAACTTGTAACTGATGCATAGCTTCACACAGCATTTCTCTGATTTCACGTCTAGAGAATCCTTGATTGTTTTTCTTGCTGCGACCCATCTTCTCTGAGTATTCCCAGTTGGTATACTTCTGGATTCCAGCATTGGGTTTTTCTGGCGTGGACTCTAGCTTTGTATGGTGCTCCATTAGCAATCACTCACAAAATTTATTGACCTACGTAGGTGTTGGAAAAAGTTGTCTGCTCCTACGGTTCTCAGATGGCTCCTTCACCACTAGCTTCATCACAACTATTGGGTATGTACAAAATATCTGGTTGGGAATCATTATTCTGCATGGGAATTCTTGTGTGAAGTTATGAATCATGATCGTGGGTTTCTTGAAACAGTATCGACTTCAAGATAAGGACTGTTGAGTTGGATGGCAAACGGATCAAGTTGCAGATCTGGGATACTGCTGGCCAAGAGCGCTTTCGGACTATAACTACTGGTATGGTTGCATACTTTGGCAAATCAAGAGTGTTTTTCTAAGCATCTCCTGATTGTATGTGCAATTCTTCTTTGCAGCCTACTACAGGGGGGCGATGGGCATTTTACTTGTTTATGATGTCACGGATGAGGCGTCATTCAATAGTATGGACCTCTGTGCTTCAGATAACATTGAGCAAACTTTCCTTTTTCTGATTATCTCCATTGTTCTCAGGCATAAGAAATTGGGATAAAAAACATTGAACAGCATGCTTCAGATAACATTGAGCAAGAATTCCTTTTTCTGATTATCTCCATTGTTCGCAGACATAAGAAATTGGATCAAAAACATTGAACAGCATGCTTCAGATAACGTGAGCAAAATTTTGGTGGGGAACAAAGCGGATATGGATGAAAGCAAAAGGGTATACTCTTCTGTCCTCTCCTGTTTTTAGGCATGTTTGTTCTGTAGCTGTTTCATCTTAACTTAATGTTGCGGACGGTTTTGTTTCATGAGCAATGCAGAAAATAGATATTCACCAATCTATATTCAGGCTAAGCAGGTTACTGTTTGTTAAATTAAATTTAAGCCGTACAGATGTTACTCATGTCATGCAAACAAAAGGAAAACGTGCTCAGCATTATTACCCTTACAGTTTACATTCAGTTCCTCAATCACTTATCTTTGGAATAATTTATCTCTCTCTTATCTGCTCAATTGCTTTCATGCAGGCTGTTCCCACTTCAAAGGGCCAGGCCCTGGCCGATGAATATGGCATTCAGTTCTTTGAAGCGGTTAGTGAAAGTCACAACCTTCAACCTTGCTATATGTACTCCCTCCGTCCGGAAATACTTGTCCTCGAAATGATTGTATCTAGACTTATTTTAGTTATAGATACATCCATTTTATCCATTTCGAGGACAAGTATTTCCGGACGGAGGGAGTAGCATTTAAGCGCTGCACAGTAGTGAAATTTTATGTTGATTTATATGGCATCTTTCTAAGCAGTGGTGCCCAACTGCCGATACCTTAGCATTTGTTTCCCACGCATAATCCTTCATATATTACTGTCCCCGCAGAGTGCAAAGACAAACATGAATGTCGAGCAGGTTTTCTTCTCTATAGCAAGAGACATCAAACAGAGACTCTCGGAGGCTGATTCCAAGGCTGAGGTACTCCAATCATTCCCATACTTCTGGAAACATGTATGGGTTTCCCTTGGTTGCGCAGCGCCTTACAGTGATCTCTTGGTTACAGGGGGGGACTATCAAGATCAACACGGAGGGTGATGCCAGTGCAGCAGCAGGACAGAAGTCGGCTTGCTGTGGGTCTTGAACCGTCGTCGTCGCTACGGGGAAAAAAGATGGTTGCGACACGGTGCTTGTAATTCTTGTCATTCCATTCTTTGCCTGCTGGTTTCGTTGTGTTAATTTAAGTTATCGCTGTTGTTAGGATTTGGGCAAATTTGGTGTTGAGTCAGAGCAATTACTTTGCAGTATCGGTGGAATTTTTTTGTTTTTCTTGAGATGAAACTCTGCTGCTCCATTAAGGCCGCTAAACCCGGTACATAATCGGGGAAGTTCGTCGACCGCCTCTCATGGTATCTGGGGACTCCCCCCTCACCCGTAGCTGCTAGCAAATGAGCAGAAGTAACTTATCCAGACACAGGTGGCCCACTGAGCATGATCGAAATGCAGGCGAGCTGATGACTGAGCTTAAGTTACCTGGGCTGCCGCATTGCCTTTTGTTTCCTCTTGTGGAGACGTGGAGTCAATGCACACTTTGTAGGCCGTTTTCATCGGGGGAAAAACGTTGTAATCGTAATGCCATGACACAGAGTCTTCGCTTTGGTCGCAGATAGTACCGCTGCAGTGCAGAGGCTCGTGCTGCCCGTCATAGTCAGCTCCGGCGCTGCCGTGCGTGCTCTGCCACATTCCCTAGTGTTGGGCCCTTGTACGTGAGCTTGTCACAAGCGCCTGCAAGAACACATGGAATATCTCAACCTGGCTCCCCTTGTAGGAAAATATCGGCAACCCATTCGAATCACCCTTACTCCCAGGGTTTGCGCATCTAGGTAAGGCTTTGTTCGGTTACACCCTGTCTCAAGGGGATTGGAGTGGATTTGGGGGGGATTTGACTTGTATGGGATTTAATCCCTGCCAAACCCCTTCAAAACCATGCCAACCGAACGCAGCCTAAGGCACGTCCAATTGGAACGCGCTTTGAAATCCAAACCGACACAAACAACACCAGACTGTCAATACCGATAATGGTTTATATTTGGATCTTCCCCATCCAGACAAAGTTCGTGTATCCATCTTTTCCGTCCCTAGAACATTTTCTGAGGCTAACAACTAATGGTTTGACAGACCGACTGCCTTAAATCTGTTGGCAATGAGAATTGTGCGGAACAACTATGTAGAAGTACCCCGCCAAAAAAAAATTATGTGGAATTGAGTGGAGCTGGATTGCCGCATGACTTTGCTGGTGTCCAATGATGTCTACTACGCAACTTCATTTTGTAGACTTTGTTAGGTCTCTAAGCGCAAAATTTGTAGGACAACAACAAATTTCCCTCAAGCGGATGACCTATGATTTATGAATCCATGAGAGGTGTAGGATGAATGTGGTTCTCTCTCAAACAATCCTGTAAACAAATACAAGTAGTCTCTTGCGTCCCCAACACACCTAATACGATTGTCAGTTGTATAGGTGCATTAACTCGGCGAAGAGATAATGATAGATGTGTAATATGGATGGTAAATATTGTTTTTTGTAATCTGAACAAATAAAAACAGTAAGGTAGCAAGCAACAAAGTGAATAAAATGGCGTCCCAATGCTTGAAAACAGGGCCTAGGGTTCATAGTTTCGCTAGTGCCAACTCCCAACATCATTAACATAATTAAACCATGTGATAATCCCTCAAAGTGCAGTAAAGAATTACTCCAAAATTTCTATTCTATCATAGAAAGTAGGATGGAATGGCGTAGGTGCGCTTAACAGTAAACAACCTCAAAGTTGTCTTTTCAATCGATCTATTGAACCATCCACAAAGTGCCATGGATAGTCCCAGAAATCATACAACACAACACAATATGATACTTATTGTTCAACCTTTATGCTAAGAGTGCCTCAGTCTCACTGCGGGTATTCACAAGTTAATTAATAAACATACATCATGTAATCTCAAATCAAAAGTATTTAATCCAACATAAAAATAACTTCGAAGAGCAAGACTCAATTCACAGCAAAAAGGATAGAGGGGGATGAACATCATAAGATCCAACTATATTAATAAAGCTCATGATACATCAAGAACGAATGCATCAAAGACATGAGAGAGAGAGAGAGATTGAACACATAGCTACTAATACATACTCTCAGCCCCAAGGATTAACTACTCACACATCACCATGGGAACGTAGGAGTTATTAGTGATAATGGTGACAGAGATGTCCCGGACGGCATCCCAGCGCCACCGGAGGAGAGGGGGAAGGGTCTCTCTCCTTCTTATCTTCTTCCTAGGCCTTCCGGGGAGAGAGGGAGCTCTCCCCCATATTGGATCTCTCTTTTATAGTTGGAGATCCGTAACTCCGATCGGGCTGAAACTTTTACATGATTTTTTCTCCATAAATTAGATTTCTTGCGGCAAAAGAAGAGCTCCATCAGCGTAAGGAACCATCACACGGCCACCTGGCATGCCCTGGGGCGTCCCTAGGTCATGTGGGGCCCTCGAGCACCACCTTGCTTTCATTCCTTCACTCAAAAATCACATATATTCTAGAAAAAATCATATTAAATCATCGGGGCATTTTGACCTTCCTAGATATTGATTTTCTGTAAAAACCAAAAATATGCAAAAAAAACATCAACTGGAAATGGGTACTAGATTAATAGGTTAATTCAAAAAATAATATAAAGTGCACCAAAACCATATATATTTGATGTTAATATTGCATGAAAACTTCATAAATTATAGACACGTTGGAGACGTATCATCCAACATGTTAATTTGATATTTATATGCCTTGTTATTGTTCCACGATGAAGGCAAAAGATTTAGTGTGGTAGGGTAGACATAATGATTATGATGATGTCCCTCGTAGGGTGGCGAAACTCTTTACACACTGCAATAGACTATTTTGCAAACTATCTAAGACAACATCTTGAAAACTGGCCTAGTAGCTAGTTTTGGCCAAATCACGCTTAGTGACTGATCCGGGCTATTTGAAAATACACTACGCCATACCGATAGTTATAGTAAAAGAACATTGAAAATAGTTGTGTTATTAAATTTTAGGGTTTAATGCAACATAGACGACAAGATTGAATTGAAATCCCGTTTTATCATAGGCGTCAGAAAAGACTAACTAAATTTCTTTCCATAAAATGAATCCGTGGTTTTTGATTTACTATGAATGAACCAATTAATGTATATCGTCGATGTAAGCATTTATACCAAACTTTTATTTTTATCCATACTCTTCTCTTTAATCAAAACATAATTTTTGTTAATATTGTCGGATAACCTACTTTTGATAGTTAAGCAAATGGCGGCGTTATTAAATATTTATAATGGTGTTATTTTGTGTAATAGTTGTAATATTTATCACTAAAAATGTGCAATTTGAACATTATTTGCAATAAATGTTATATTAGTTTTGGATTTTTAGTACATTATGCCTTAAACAGATATTTACAATCAATCTCATAATTGTGTGAAATATAAGAAAACACAAAATCGCACATGGATTAATTTCTTATACCCGCTTGACATAATGTATGTGTGTGTGTGTGTGTGTAGAGAGAGAGAGAGAGAGAGAGAGAGAGAGAGAGAGAGATCTACCCCTTCTGATCTTAGAATATCCAAAGAGCAGTTTGTAATTTATGATTATGCTACACGTAAATTCTAGAGTATATTGTGTACGAGAAGCTTGCAGTGAAATCATTAGCATGCTACTTTACCTTTCTAGTCTGGGTCAAATGTGTCTCATAGGTTACAACGGGTTCAAATGTGCTTTGTTGCGCTGTTTGTCGGGATTTCATAATTTTATTATTTAGTTAGCCGCGTGAGAGAGAAGTAATGCTACACGTATAAATGGTTACTTAATTTTTTTTTATAGGGAAGTTGATGTGAAGCATTATGATTGGTAATAGATAGATGAAGGGGACCACCCCAGCATAATTTTGGGGAAAGATGATTTACGAAAAAGGGTTTTCCCCGCTTTATATATAAAGCACCATCACCGCATACAACCAAGACACCGATACAAACACACGTCAACACCACACAAAACACACACCCAAGGCAAAATACAAAGGTGACGAGCACTGCCACACTATCCCACTGACAACCAAGCAAACTACAGATGAGAGAAGAAGACCGGTAGGAGCCGACAGGGACCTCCACCATGAGCAAACCACAACGGAAAAGTGAGGTAGACCACGGTGAAGTCGGGACTCCAAAACGGTGCCTCCCAGAAGGGTATGACCATAGGTAGCCGCCACCGTCCGATCCAGAGATCAGGTTTCACCC